TGTGGCCCATTCTGTCGTTGTAGGCCTGGTTGCTTTGATTAGACAGGCCAGGCAAGGGTCAAGGGAGGAGGCGGTGGCATGATAGCGATCAAGTGCTTTGTCCACAGTATCCTGCGTCACAGGCTGAAAGTAATCAAGGATCACCGGGCAAGATGGCGCGCTGGACATCTCAGCTCGACTCACTGTATTTAAAAAATGAGAGAGCTCCCGGTGGATGGCCTCCACTTTAGATTTACAGTGGTGCCTCGCTTTACGATTGCCCCGCATTACGACAAATCCGCTTTACAACGATCTTTTTGCGATCGCAAAACAATGGTCTAAATGGGAGAATTTCACTTTGCTATTATCGGTTTCCTGCTTTGGGAACCGATTCTTCGCAAAATGATGTTTTTTAAACAGCTGATCGGCGGTTTCAAAATGGCCACCAGGTAATTAAAATGGCTCCCTGCTGTGTTTAGGGACGGATTCCTCACTATGCAGGCAGCGAAAATGGCTGTCGTATGGAGGATCTTCACTGGACGGTGAGTTTTTACCACATTGGAACGCATTGAACGGGTTTCAATGCGTTTCAATGGGGTTTTTATTTTCGCTTTACGATGTTTTCACTTAATGGCGATTTTCCTGGAACGGATTATCGCCGTTAAGCGAGGCACCACTGTATTGAACTGACTTCTAAGAAGTCAGCCTAAGTGTTGTTAGAGAAAGATAGCAGTTGGAATCTGTGATGGCTATCAGCATAACTCAGACACTGAAATCAGGATGAGTTTCTGTACCCATGTTTAAGTCCACTTCTCCTGCACTATCCCTGAATTCACAAGCAAGAAATATAAGCTGTCTACTTTATTATTATAGTTTACATCATTATAAATTTCTGGGGTTATCCCTGTTCAATAAGCCAAAAGCTCTAACCCACAGCATATTGTATTCTGCTAGTATAAGTACCAATTGTTCTTACAAAGACAGCCAATGTTCTGGAAACAAAATTAACGGACAACTTCAAGGCCTCCACTGCTAGAACATTATCTTTTCAAAGGTACAGATTATCCACAATCTTAGAACGAACAATCAAGCAAAGGAGGTATCAACCACAATTGTACTTTATACAGTTGAGGCCAAAGACTTTGCTTCATTGTGTTAGATTTATAATCAGAGACATGCATTCTTTCTTTCTAGAGACTATATACTGCTATAGAAATTAGGTTTTTCTATCATCTGCTTTTCTTAGTCTACTAAAACCTCCAAATAATGCCCTGCTTGAATTACCCCAAGAATACATTTATATGCGTTCATCTTTCCCTTTGTAATCAACACTAGAAAGTGTCACTTTGATTAATTTTTTTAAAAAAAATCCTCTGAATTATTAGGACTGCAATACAATAAATTCTCTTGAGCAATTGTTCAGATTGGTCTCCAGCCTTAATTCTCCAGAGTCTTGTTTAATCAAAATGATGTTGCTAATTAAGGATTAAAACCCAGAATTGAAAGTTAGAAAAGGAAGGGTTTTTCTCTCTCATCTTCTCCTCTGGGTTAGGTCAGTGAGAAAGAATATACCTGAAGGAATCAACCAATATTTTCACCTTCAGTCTAAAGTCACAGTGTTTAGGAATGCTCATATTTAATTCCAAAAGCTAGCAGTATCAATGCACAGGGAATAAAGACCATAATTTGGGAATGTTACATTTTGAGTCTACCTTTCCCTCAATGCCTGCTAGCTGGGGGATTCTGGGGGGTGGTAATCCAAAAAAAAAAGTAAGTTTTTCAAACTTTGGTACAGTAGGACCTCTAGTATCCACAGGAGATTGCTTCCAATCCAGCCCCCGATGGATAATAGTATGTATGTAACTATGATTCCCCGCCCCATAGAGGATAATAGTTACATATCATGGAAAAGGAAAAAAAATCCAGAATAAAGTATTTTCACTATGTATTACCAGAAATAGCCATTAGAGGGAGGCAGATGCCATACTATGTATTCTTCAACAAGAAGAATACAGTGGTGCCTCGCATAACGAGTGCACCGTTTAACGACGAATCCGCACAGCGATCTAATCTTTTAGATTTCTAATGCGATCGCATTGCAATGTTTTAATGGGTAAAACATCGCATTGTGATGATCGGTAAGCGTTTCGCTTACCAATCTTCGCATTACAATGTTTTTTTAAACAACTGAATGTTTTTTTAAACAGCCAGGTGTCTAAAATGGCCGCCACAAGTGTTTTCATGCCCTGTCCTCACTTACTGAGGGCACGAAAATGGCGGCGCTATGGAGGAACTTCGCTCAACGGTGAGTTTGGGAGCCATAGGAGCCATGGCTTTTTCAGTTCCGTTTAGCGATGTTTCTGCATAGCGACGATTAATCCGGAACGGATTAACGTCGTTATGCGGGGCACCACTGTACATAGAATGGTCTCTGGCTCCCTCTAGTGGCTGGTTTCAATAAATAAATAATAAGAATGCATATTTCTGTGGGTTTTTTCTTTTAATATTTTTAATATTTTCAGAATGCGGATAAGTAAAACCATGGACATTGATTCTGTGGATATGAGGATCCTACTGAATTCAGAAAAAAATCCACGTAGCAATAGAATTCATGTTTTTTCATTATACTTGTCCGCACGGGCTTTTTCCAGGCAAACTGCTCCCCTAAAGTCTACAATGATATTTCAAAATAAAGTAGTTGCTGATGGAGCTTTGGCTTGGTGGAATGATAATAAGGCCACGTGACCAGATCTGAGACAGCAGGAAAAAGTAGCTACAAAATTTGCATTTCTTTTTACATGGAGGGTGACCTGTTCACAAGATGGAATGCAGGGGCATAGCCATTTCCTGAGATTTCCGCCAACGCTCTCAGGCTTTTCAGTCTTAATATGAATCCTCTTCATAAAGTGCTGGCATTTTATCTTTACAACACTCCTGTCTGGTTAGGATGGGTCAGAAAATCTACTCCAAGCCATAAAGGAGCCATCCAATGTGCTAGATCTATTTCATGGATGGGGTTCAGAACTTAGACAAGTTCAGAACCTTTTGATCAACTACCTGTTTTCCCGAAAATAAGACCTAACTTGAAAATAAGCCCTAGTATGATTTTTCAGGATGCTCGTAGTTCTATAAGCCCTACCCCAAAAATAAGCCCCAGTTCAGTGAAACCCCACCCTTCAACCTTGTGCAGCAACCAGAAGAAGATGACATGATTGTATTTGAATCAATGTAGATGGTTGTACATGAAAAAAAAAATCCCCTGAAAATAAGCCCTAATGCATTTTTCTGTAGCAAAACGTAATATAAGACCATGTCTTATTTTCAGGGAAACATGGTAAAATCCAGAGCAGATTGGCCATCCCCAAGGAATTGACCAGCTTTTGCAGAAAGGAGGCTCCTGCTAGCGGGAATGCAATACGTGTAAGGAAGGGTACCTTCACTGGAGTTGCAAAAGGGGAGAAGAAGCAAAACGTCTGCTGCCAGCCAGTAAACCTGCCCTCACTTCATGCCTGCTATTAAACCAACCAACCAACCAGTCTTTTCAGCATCCTATCTTGCTTGATCCTCATGATGGATCCAACGGAATCGAATGATCTACCACTATCTCAGGGATTTTGAAATAAAGTAACTTTTCTAAGCTTTGCCCCCAACCAGCATGGATAGTGGGATCCCAGGAACTGTAAGGCAAAACAAGCTATATTAGTGTCCTGGGTCTACCTTCCATAAATTCTTACTCCTCCTCCTTCTGGCTGATAGCAACGAAAAGATCTATCGTCTCCTCGTCCCTCCATGACCCCCTCTCTAGATTACAAAACCCACAAAGAAAGGATATATGCTTTAACATCAAGCACATCAAATGAAAGCAAACATATAATGAAACAATGCAGCAGCTTTTTTGAGAAACAGAAAACATTTGCAGCATAAAATGTTTTTAGGGGAAATACGGGGTTTTCAATTAGTGAGATCTCTCCAAAATGATACCCCATCCTCCCACGCACATTCCTCCTCACACTTCAACAGCGTTAAGGCACTAACCAGTTGAAAAACGATAGAAGGTCCTTTTGTCCACTTTCATCAAGGTTGTAGACACTTAAGGGACACATTACAGCTCTTATTCCTCCCGAGCCAAGGCAGGTAGCAAACAATCCAACATAAAATAGAACCTTCTGTTCCCTTTCCGTGAAAGTGTGAAGGACATACTGCTGATCTATAAAAAAGTCTTTAAAGGGGAAGGCAATGACAGGTAACATGGCTGCACCTGCAACAGGAGAGATAAGCGCATGAGATGAGTGGAAGGAGAGACAGAATTATTTAAAAATGGCAAATTAAATACAGTGGTGTCTCGCTAGACAGTTACCACGCATGACAGTTTCTTCGCTAGACATTGGCTTTTTGCGATGGCTATAGCAATTGGCAAAACAGTGATTCCTGTGGGGGAATTTCGCTAGACAAAGTTTGGTCCCTGCTTCGCAAACCGATTTTCGCTATACAATGAGTTTGACAGCTTCCTCTGCACTCGCAAACAGGTGTTTTCGGGACCTAAGCTTTGCAAGACAGCGATTTAAACAGCTGATCGGCAGTTCACAAAGCGGCTTTCCTATGGCCGATCTTCGCTAGACAACGACGATTCTTCCCCATTGGAACGCATTAAACAGGTTTCAATGCATTCCAATTGGGAAATGCTTTTTGCTAGACAATGATTTCGCTAAACAGCGATTTCAGTGGAATGGATTATCATCGTCTAGCGAGGCATCACTGTAAACATTTCCCAAAGAAGGAGTGGTTTGCAAGAAGACCTCAATCTCTACCTGCAGAAGTTCTACCTGTTCCTACCAAGCATCAGCTGCAGGAACACCAGTTATAGGTCATGCCTCTTTGCATGGTAGAAGATGCATTATGGGGCTACCGTAAACTAGCTAGTGTATTCAATTTGGGGACAGGACGGAAGCTAGATCAGTTCAATTGTCTTGTTGGAAAGGATGTTTTTACACCTCCTGACACTGATTGTGAGTCCTACGAAGCCCTTGCACATCTGAAGATTGTGGAGAAAAATATATACACAAAAATATGTGTACAGCTGAAATGCAAACAACACATTAAAAATGAATTCACATAGGCGTAAAGTATATATTAGATGAGATAATGACACACTCCGGAAAAAATGCGCAAAAATGTGTTAATATCTCAGGAGCAAAACAAAAAACAAAAAACCCAAAGTCTTGAAAACCAATAGAAAATAAGGTTAGGACGAAAATGCAGTTGAGATTTGAAGAAACACAGCAAAATTGAAACATGGAAGCCAAAATAAGATGATAGAAGCAGCTACAGTATATGAATTTCACAGCCTCTCACTCTTGGCAAGAAACCAAGTAATCCCTCTTTATCTGGCCTTTTACTCCTTACAGCCAGATTCCTCACTGCAAGATTTATTTTCTAAAAATCTTGGGGTCAATCTCACAGCAAATTTCAGATATTTTGAGGCCACCCCTCTCCCCACCACCACCCGGAAGTAACACCAATCTGCACATAATTCCTACAATTCCTACACAAAATGGATTATTTTCTGCACACGTTTCCCTGGAAGGGGCATGGAAGTGCATTGAAACTAGCAGTTTCTTCTGCAGCAGAAAAGGAAAAACCTAAAAACAAAAGGTAAATTAAAAAAGTGAGACTTCTTTTTCTTTTTCTTTTTGCCGGTGTAGCGGAATTCCCAGTGAGATGTCTTCATACAGAGAGATTTGGGAAATTGTTGAGGAAGATATTTTTCCCCCAGCACTATCCACATAATAAGAAATAGCTGAGGACTGAAAGCGAAACGTTTTAACAAATGCAAATATCTCTGTGTTCCTCTCATTGCTGAGAGTGTACAAATTACGTTGCTTTGTAGGGTGATTCGTCTTCAGGTTTGCTTTCCAAAAACCCCAAAAGACAGCCCATCACGTCTGTCAGCTTTTAGTTCTAATTATGGTCTATCTCTAAGCTCTGTTTCTGGCCTGGGATACAGACCAATTCTCTTGCTTTCATTTCAATCTGGAATTCCCAAAGACAATTTACAAAGCCATTGTCTAAGCACACCATTGTCAAAAGCAACACTAAAACAGTGATGAGTTTTAACTTTCAATAAACCATGTAAATCAGTGTCTGTTTTCTTGGCATGTTTTTCAGATCAGGCCTGTAAGTCTGTAACTAGCACACTATGTTATTGACATCCTGTGTTTCCATTGATGTGTTTTGGATTTATAAGGCAAGAAAGCAGGTGTGTTGATTATCTAAGTTAGTGAGGCAACGTTGTGGAGAATTCTTGATCCATTCATGGCAGAAGGAGGGCTGGAAGCCAGTTCTCTCCAGCTGGAACATTCGAAAGCTTTTGTTCCTTAAACAGAAGTCAAAATAAACATGCTACATAGGATTAAACTCTTATCTAAGACATGGGACCATTTCCCACACAACAAGCTCCACCTACCTATAAAGTGTAGCAAAGCACAGATGTACAGCAATTTGATTTGCCCCACTGGGGATTCGGCAAGGCAACCCATCAGGATGGGGCTCATCAGGTAGGCACCCACAAAGCAGAGATTGATCACAGCAGCCTGGTAGTTATGATAGCCAAGCTTGATGGTGCAGAAAAGGATCATGTTGCAGACAATACTGAAGAAAGTAAACTTTTCACACAAGTCCACCAGCAACAAGCAAACGGTCACCCTGACTTTCTTACGAAACTCTGAGTCCGGCGCGCCACCGACGTGGTCAGGTGTGATTTTTCTCCGCTCCTCCTTGGAACAGCAGTTTAGAAGCGGTGTCCCTTCCGGGAGTCTTACGTCCAACGGAGACATTGCTCGATGCTACTGGATAATATTATCTCTCTTTTTTTGCATGCGTGCAACTTCGGCTACTCTTTCCTGCAATTAACACACAAGTCAGACCTTTGTGTTAAATTCCACACCTTGCCACGACAATTTTCTGCCCTGGTTTTCTTGTTTTAGGGTCCAAGACATCGATACCAACTGATGTGAAAGCACAACTTCTGCAGAAACCAATCCATTTAATTAGCTTGCTATGAGGTGCATGCAATCTTCCAACCCCTCCCCCATTCAAACAATTGCCGATTAAAATTATGTAAAATCCAATACAATGTGCAGCAAACTTTATCTGCTCGTTTGGCAGATAAAGGTTTAAACACTGAAGAAGGCTAAAGCACTTCGGCAAAAAACAAACAAACGAAAAAACCCCTATCAAACCTCAAGTATTAAGATCAAGAAAGTAATGCAGAGCTAATATTCCAATGCTTTAATTAAGCAATCACAAATGAAAATGGAAGTTAAGTGATAAAGACATGAAGAATACACATCAGCAGATGAACAATAGTTTATCGTTATTACATTTCTTGTTATTTCAGAGTTAAATTCAGATAAGGAAGTTAATTAGAAAAGGTATATACCGCTAAATTTAAGTGTAATAAGTAGCCTCTCCATCAACATTCGAATAACTGCATCGTGCCTGTGAAAAGCTGGGAGTGGGAAGGGTGATGAAAATAATCTAGGATGTCTGCAAGGAATATATATATATATATTTCAGCACCGCTTTCTAAGCCCTGCATAATTTTTCCTGAACAGAAGTAGGTTTTAAGCAGAAAGAGGAATGGAGTCACACAGTTTGGTTCCTCTCCTTTAATTTCTTCCCCCTGGTACAGGTAGGTGTCTGGTCAGCGGCATTGTATTCCATGAGAAATTCAGCCCAAAGTTGGCAATGAGTGGGGAGACCTTTGTGATGTCAGAAAGGTAGGGAAGGGTTAGGGTTGAGAGGGAGGGGGACTGACCCTGCACCCGTGTTTAAGCCAGGAGTGTTCTCATTGCACCGGAACTTTCCTGCCTTGCTCCAAACAGCCCCATGGCCTCATAGACGCTGAAATCACAGGATCTCCCCATCACCTAATCACAGCAGCTCCTTGATGCTTCCACTTGGATCCTGAAACCTGGGCACCCCATGCACCCTGCCCGCAGGTCACTCTCCAATTCGAATAGTAGAGTCAGAAGGGATATTGGGTTTGTGCATCAATGCATATGGTCAGGCCTCCCTGCTCAATGTGAAGTGAACAGGTATGCATGTGGAGGGTATAATTCTCCTCCTCAATCTGCTCGTCAGCATTATGTGTGATCCAACAGTCTGTCCGTCCGTCCGTCCGTCCTCCCTCCCTTCCTCCCTCCCTTCCTTCCTACTTCCTTCCTTCCTTCTTTCCTTGAATCTCTCAGATCAGATAGATCCCAAAGTAACGTTTCCAACCTCCAAGGAGAACAAGCTTCTAGCTTCAACTCTGTGCTGATATTTAGAAGACTGAAAACATTGTTATGTAGATCTGAATGAGGACACGTGTTCTATGGTGTTCCTGATTATAACACGTGGATTTGAAAGCTGGTCTATGAAGCAAGTGAGGGGAAAAAAACCCAAAACCCTGATTCATTTGAAATGGGGTGTCAGAGGACACAGTTACAGGGCCTCCAGATAGAAAAATAATTGAGTTGTAGATTAAATCAGGCCTAAACTCTCACTAGAAACAAAAACGGCTAAGCTGTCGTACTTTGGAGATACCATGAGAAGTCAAGGCTCACTGAAAACGCTAGGAAGAAGGTTAGGAAAAGCATAAGAAAAGATGAAGACCAAACATGATACAGATTGACATGATAAAAGAAACCATGGTATTTATTGAGTTTCTAAGATCTGGGCAAGACTGTTAATGGTAGGACTTTCTGGAGGTCACCAATTCATCGTTGTTCTTATGTGCTGTCAGGTCACCTCGGACACAGGGCAACCCTAAGCCTGAGTGGTCTCTGAAATTTCCTGTCCTCAAAAGCGCTGCTCAGCTCTTGTACAGTAAATTCAAGCTTGTGGTTTCCTTTAGGGAGTCAGTCCATCTTGTGTTCGGTCTTTCTCTTTTCCTGCTGCCTTCAACCATTCCAGAAACTCCTGCCTTCTCATGATGTGCCCAAAGTGCAACAGCCTCCGTTTCAACATTTTTCCTTCCAGAGAGAATTCATGCTTGATTTGAGCTACGGCCCGCTTGTTTGTCTTCCTGTCAGTTTGGGATATTTACAGAGCTCTCCTCCAGCACCACATTTCAAATGAATCTATTTCCCCACCACCACCTTTCTCCACTGTCCAGCTTTCAAATCCATAAATGGTGATGGGAAATACAAGAGCGTGGATGATTTTGGGTCGCTGTAAGTCAGAAATAAGTCAATACCACATAACAATAATAACTGAAAACAACAGTCACTGTGAAGAGAAGTGGTATAATTAGGGGGAAAGGGTTCCTGTTGCAATTAAAGTTAATCATTATATACTGATCCTGTTTAGATCCACCACATTTCCTTTAGGAATGCTAATTTCATTCCCCTTTGGCTATATTTCCTCTTTAAAGAAATTGATACAGGCATGGATGTGAATATATAAATTATACATCTGAGCATGTACGAAGTGTCCCTGCTTTATCAAGTGGTGGCTACATGACCCTCAACACAAAATCTAGCAAGAAGACAACAAAGGCAGTAAGAAAGCCTCAGTAAATCTTGAAAACTGGGTCCAGAATCGATATTTGTTGCGAAAAGAGTTCTAGTATTGTCTATTGGAAGTTCTAAGCCCTGATACTCAAAATTTACTCTAAAGATAGGCAGATATTGTAATTATGCCCTTACCTGTCTTCTGTTACCTGTCTTCTGTAGTCGTTCCGAAGTACTGTCAGTTGGACAACTTAGTCTTGCAAGGCTTCTTAAGAGAGACCCAGGAACGACCCACATGACTTTTGTCCTGATACGGGGTATATTTAGGGAGAACCCCTACGTATATTTCCTTGGGAGTGAATCCCACTGCACAGAATAGGACTTACTTCCTAGTCAATATGCAAAGGTCAGAAGAGCATGGTGATCAAACAAACAGTATGGGACCCTACAGTCAGCTTTGCCAAACGACCTTCCTCGTTCACATTTACGACCCCTTCTCTCTGAAGGCTTGCTCAGACTAACAGTCTAAGATTAGGGCATGACGCATATTCATTTCACAGAAAAGAGACACACTTTTTTTTTGAAGGCTTCACTCTTTAGAAATCAAGGTGGGACTTCCAGGTTTATTTTTTTAAAAAGCATAGGACCAGGCTATAAGTAAACCTGCATATACCTGCATGACATATTATGCTTCCAAGAACATAGATTTCAGCTGTTTTGCAATGTTCTTGGAAAGTCCACAGAAAAGACAGCGGGCAGAAGTGTGGAAATTAGGTCTAGGTGGACTGCAAGGACAAATGACAGCAGCAGCAGCAAAAAAAGTAGGCAGTAAAGCCCTCCACCTCTTTTAGACAACACGGATCTCATACACTGACAGTAAAGCCTATTAATTACCTATCTCCAGCCACTAGGCCCTAGAGCAGACCCACTGAATCAGAAGGATTCATGTAAGTGTTGACATACCATTCAGCAATTGATTCAGTGAGCCTCCTCTAGTTGAGATTTACCTCAATACATCGGTTTAAGCCAACATATTTTTAAGTTTCTCTTTCACAGCCATAGGGACTAGAAACGTGAAGACAAAAAGCATGAGCATCTCATAATGTGCCAGTTTCACAAGAGGTGTATAAAGATGACCAAACATCCATTGTCCTAACTGAGGTTTTGTTTGCTTTGCTAGGATTCTTTAAAGCTTCTTCTAGTGCTTGTAAGGAAATAAAATGGGAAAAAAGTAAATAGATTAGAGTAGGAGATTACCGTTTCTGGATGTGGACAGGAAGGTGATAGGGAAGAATTGGATGCCCTTGCCGCCTGAGATATTTTGGCCGCTTCCCAACTACTCACTGAGCCTAGAAAAGTTTGTTTTTCAAACTAGAGCTCTCAGACTTTCTCTAGCAAGTAATGGCTAAGGAATTCTGGGGGTTATAGTTAAAATGAAACTACTACATTTCATGGTTTCCAGTAGAGTAGGCTGAAACAAGTAAGAGCCCAGCTTCTAATATTCTAATAAGCTTTTCAGAATTCATCTGGTATGATCTCCGGGGCAAAGCGCAAGCAAATTACCCAATATAAACTTTGTTCTAATTAGTGCAACCTTCCCTTCCAATACACACTTAAAAGGGTCAATGTTAAAGGGGGGGGGGAACCTTTCCCTACATTTATTCCAGATCAAATGCCATTAAATTCAAAACACTTACCTCCTGGTCAGTATGTTTAGGATAACAATCTCACAACAGTGTGTCTCACTAGCTTTACAAAACACTACTCGTTAGTGGAAACTGATAGACACCCGGGCTCTCTGCTCTGGCTTTGAATGCATAAAGCATTATAGGGAGAATGAGGAACAGAGAGATTTAGAGCAGGCAAAATACATACTTTCTGTAAACTGATTTCATACATATTTTCTCAGAAGTACATCCTATTGCTGGCTGGATAGGTCAGTGGTTTAGGTATCTGGTTGTAGAGCCAGAGGTTGGGAGTTTGATTCCTCTCCTAGGGGAATCTGAAGGCTTTCTACCAAGAAAACCATTAAAAAGGTCACCATAGGTAAGAAATGACTTGATGGCATGCAATTATATTATACATCCCACTGAGTTCAATGGAGTGCAATTGCAAGATGATGGGTACCGATAAAAAAAAATAAGCCTCTGTGTCCCACCAATCTGAAAGGAACTTCTGTTTTCCCTTAATAAAATACAAAGGCAAGCATAGGCAATACCTTTATAGACTACTAAAAAAATCATAATTTGCCTTTAGTAATCTTTCTTCAGTAAAGATTGCTTACTAGCCAAAACTACAGGAGAGTAAGTTCTTTCCATAAACCTGCCAACATTTTTATTGCTTTTTAAAACTATTATTTATCATTATTTTGGCAAAGCCTCTGTGCCTTTAACACCAACTTGCCAGGTAGCCACTAGATTTTTCCAGCTCTATTAAAGGAGACGTTCAAAAACCACAGATGGCCGTACCGGTCCATAAAAAGTGAAATCTGCAGGAAGTCTAATAAAATGGCAAGCAAGCCTTCAAATTCGTCCGAAGTGATCTTCGATTTGAAGAATTCTGAAGACCTGGAAATTTTGCTTGCTCTGTTTGTCTCATTGTGGTCAATTCCTGTAAAGGGATTGTCCTGCTGTCGTTTTTGTTAAAGACACAGAAGAAATGCAGAATAAAAGCTGGCATCTCCATCGCGGCACATGACACGAGATGTTGGGAAACTGGATTTTGGATTTCTGCCAAGCTTCTATATTACAGGATAACTGAGGTCCTAAAACTGAATGCAAAGATGTGTTGGAGGCAAGGAAATCTAGATTTACTCTCTGCTCAGCCGTGAAGGTTAACTAGTCTCCTGGTATCACCTATCTGCTAGATAGATTTCTCCTGTTCCACGGAATGTGAGAGCAAAGTCTTTGGTCCTGGACTCACATAATGTGAGTGTGGAATGCAAATTTCCATTGAAGTGAGAAATACTTCCAGAGATATGTACTTAAGATCAGGATGTACCGTGGAGGAAAAGGCAGCAAACCACAGCAACAATGAACACAGCAGTAAATCAACAAGCTCTTCTTTATTTCTGACCATATTGGCAACACATAACAATTGTTTTAAGAGAAATGCTAGTGGAATTGTATACAACATTTGTATATTCCCTGTCCTGTGCTCTGCTAGGTGGCTGAAGTTAGCCTACATGTCTAAATATGGTGGAGAATAAATTAACCTACATGTCTAAATATGGTGGAGAATAAATTTCTTTTTAGTTCCTAAGTGCATCTCAGAAAAGTTATGTTTTTGGACAACAAGTTCCATGTTGGCTGGCAGATTTCAGGAGATATTGTCCAAAACTTTTATTTTTCTAAGCTCTGGTCCAAAATAGAGTCAAACCCAATCTGGGGTTTGAACCACTGCACAAAACTCCCACTAACCTCCCACACCAATATATAGGAATTATACCTAGACCAAGTTGGTTTGGTTCTTAGCAGTCCAAGTGGCAACAGCAGCTCCAGCTTCTTCAGCTCTCTTGCTCTTTCCGATTCAAATTTCTTACTCAGAGTCCTGTGTAAGATCAGAGGTGAGAGTCAGATCCCTTTCACTGGAGTGCCGTCCCTCTTGCCCACTGCCCACGGCAGAGAAAGAAATCCAGACCCTGCCCGTTTCCCCTCCCAAAAAGACAGGACCGCCTGAGCCGAACCCGGGGAGAGTAGAGGAAGATTTGAAAAGACTAACAGTCAGAGAGATTTGGCGGGAAAGGAATGGAAGCCAAGGGTAGAAGTGGAGGCAGGGCTCAACAGTCAGAGAGACTGGGAAAGGCTTGGCGAAAAAGGAACAGAAGCCAAGGGTAGAAGTGGAGGCAGGGCTAGCAGATATAAAAAGGGGAGAAGGGGAGTTACTGGGAGGTTGGGAATGGATCTGGATGGAAGATCCATGGATGGGGAAGTGGGAAAGACTCCGGATATCCAAGGAAGAAGCAGATGGCCGAAGGAGGAGAGAGATCACCCCCCAAGCCATCTTATTGGGGTGAAAAAGAGACAAGGGAGTGTAGGAGGAGGTTAAGAGAAGAAAAGGAGAAGGTTGAGAGAGAAAGAAGAGAATGAAGGGTGAGGGAATACCAGATGAGGAGATATCCGGAGGACCCAGGACCACCGGGACGAGGACACAGTCCCCTTATTGCAAGGGGAGACTGGACCAGTATTGAGTCCCAACCTGTCAATGGACCGGACTGGGCCCTGGAACACTGGGGGTGGGGGGAGAAACCGACTAGTATTGAATCCCAACCTGTCAATGGACCGGACTGGGGCCTGGAACACTGGGGGTGGGGGGAGAAACCATTTCAAAGATGATGAATGGAAGCCCCTTGCTGGCCAGTGGTTAGAAGGAGACAAATGTTGGAATGCTTTTGCAGACACTGGTTTCTTGCTGAATCCTGCAATAAACGTTACACCCATTTCGAAGCCTCATAAGACTGGTGATTTGTTTGGAGAAAAACAGGAGGCTGAACCTTAACCCTCACGTCCTGCTCTTTCTTAGTCCCAACCGTTTCAGCTGAACCAGTATTTCACAAGGGTTATGCTTCCATATGTCGATCCCCCAAGCAAACACTGAAGCTAGGGTAATAACGTGATCTCGTAAGCCAAGTAACGTTTCTTCTATCATTCTATATGTGGATGTTTGTGAAGGACCAGCAGGAAGAGAGGTGTAATGTCTCTACATCTGAGATATGCTGCGCCTCTCCTCCTGGGGTAAATACATAGCCTAGGCTAAAAGCGTGGGGAAATTATTTTTTTACTACAACCCCCCTCCAAAAAAAAAAAAATCCCTTAGATTGGGGGATAGTGGCAGTTGTAGTACAAACAATAACCTTCCCAGCCTCTCAGCCTAAGCCATAAAGCCCCCAAGTATGAAGCGTAATTCACCAATATTTTTGGTCAATCCTGCAATTTCAAATGTTCAAAACCACATTGTAGGGCTCTAAATAAGAGGCACTTATGGTCTGGCATATATCCATATTAAGCCACAGTTCAAACCCATTATAACATCTAGCGACTGTGGCAGCCGTCTGCTTCCCCTTCTAGTGGCACCTGCTGTATTGTTTTATCTCTCTTTCTCTCTCTCTCTTTTTCAAAGCTTCAACCCAAACATATATAATTATATTGGTGCGAGGCAGTTTTTCATGCATTCACAGGCTCTTGTCTTATTGCACCTATTTGACGGTTTTATAATTCAGAGGTAATTGGATTGCAATTATTTTTCATGATGCATGGTGGTGAAGTTTTATACCGTGTCGTTGGCAGATATTCTTTATGACATTGTTTTCTCTAATGGGTAAATTAGACCTAGTTCTATCATACAGAAAGATGGCTTTTTAAAAATCCCATGACAAAGTATAGATTGGAATAAGCACTCAGAAAAATTGCCCCGTCTTCCAAAAAAAGAAAAAAAGTAATTAGGTAATCAAGAAGGGCTGACAACTAAAATATGAAAATATGGCTCTAACAGTTCTCTATCATCCTCATCCTCATCATCGCAGAACGGCAGAGCTGGATCCTCAGTGTCACTATAATAATGACAGACACCGGTTGAAATCCTGTTGCGTAGTTACGCAAACAGCATAACGCCTCTGTGGACATTAACTGCTGCATGTCGAATCATAAGACTTGGCATGCAACAGATAATGTCTATGGAGATTTCTTAACTGATGACAATTCACCACCAAAAGTTACATCTTTGGAGTAATTGTGTAACAGGATTTCAGCTACTGCCTATTTTAGGCTGGACAACATAAACAGGTCACAGACCTCAGAACCACAGAATCACCGTAGGGTTGGAAGGGACCTTGGAGGTCTTCTAGTCCAACCCCCTGCCCAAAGCAGGAGACCTCATATCAACCCAGACAAATGGCTGTCCAGTCTTCCCCTATATTGTGCTCCCATTCCACCTGATACCCCCTTTTTAATTCTGACTTTAAAAGGCCCCTTGAACCCTGTAAGGGTTCGGTTTGCTGCTTCTGGACCTGTTTTAGGCCAAAACCATAGATAACCAGAGGTCCTAAAATATTCCCTGGTGGGTGTCCAGGAATTTGGCTGGTTTTCCCCAACATCCAGTGCACCAGGGGTCTCTTAAAGACCAAAGTAAATAGTGGAGGAATGAGGGCATAGGTGTACATGGCCCATAGAGGTCACATCTGGCCTTTCTGACTCAATCTGACAAACTTGGTCAATTCCTATATTTGCTTTCTGAGAGTTCACTTCGGCTAAATGGTGGAGTACAAGCTTAGTGTTCAAAGATTGGACCGCAACTGCCACCATTTCTTGGGGTGGCTGGAGAATCCTCCCAAATGGAAGACTAAACAGACACTACTAGTACAGTAGGACTCCTGTATCAATAGGATCAACATCCGCTGATTCACTTATCCTTGATTTGAAAATATTAAAAATATTACAAGAAAAATCCTAGAAATATTTACTTCCAAAGATTAAGTTAC